CGATTTCGTCTGATATCTGAGACCCTGCTCACATGGCTACCAAGGGGAAAACGGAGTCCGGAAGATTAGGGAGGCGAGTGAATGCGACGACTTTTTCGACTTTCGACTTCTGTCGTTTGATGTGAGCAACGCCGGAGCGCAAGCTTGTCTGGGAGTGAAAGTTTTAGAAGGGTCGGAGAAAAGACCACGGAGAGTGACGTCGCCTTTTGAGACGTCGCAAACGTCGCCATGGTCGCGGAGGTGGCGTGTGACTTAGCGTCGCACGCGCAGGCGTTGCGCGAAGCATTAGGGCAGTCGCAGAGCAACAATGATCGCCTGGCGGGCATCCTAGGGTCGTTCGATCAGCGGCTCTCCGCCTTAGAGACGGCCATGCGACCGACCCAGGTGAGATGTGCGACACAGGCGACACATGCGACTTATAGGAGCTATTGCGATGCACTAGATCGAGGCTGAAACCTCAGAGAGAGGAGCGAGGTGGGGGAGGCAAATGTGAGAATGACATGGCGGCGCAGATAATGCCCTTGTCGCAGGGACGAGAGATGGCGGTGCCTTTGCCTGCGACGGGCTTATAGCCGTCTGACGCCAAGCTCTTAAGCCGTGAACGCCCCGCTCCCGCTCCCTTCCCCCTAGCCGCGTCCCCTCCGCCCGAGCTCTCCTCCCTCGCTCTGTTTTCTCTTGTTCTTTGCACTCTTCTCTGCCCCTCTACCGCTACCCCACCACCCCATGCTCACCCCGCCAGGAGCGCTCTGATGCCTTCTCTGCTCCTGGCGCATGCTCCCGCCCTCTCTCTCCTCGCCCCGCCACCTGTCTGCCAACCAGGAGCGCCCCTACTCCCGCCAACGCAGCGCATACTCCTCCCCGCTCTCTTGTCTCGCCCTGCCACCCGTCCGCCAACCAGGAGCACACCCACGCCATCCGCGAGGGGCATGTCAATCAGAATCGGCCCTCTTGCCTCTTCCTTCAGTCGCTCCCCTCTCTCTCTCTCTCTCTCTCTCTCTCTCTCTCTCTCTCTCTCTCTCTCTCTCTCTCTCTCTCTCTCGCTTCCTTACTCTCTTCACTCGCTCCCTTCCCACTCTCCCACCTCTTTCTCACCCCTCAGGAGCGGACATATGCAATCCGCAAGGCGCATGTGAATATGCCCTCATCTCCCTTTCTCTTCCCTCACTCTCCTCCCACTCCCTCTCTGCATTCCGACGAATCAGGAGCACACTAACGGTATCCGTCCGCAAGGCGCATGTCAACTCGAACAGGCCCTCGCACCTCCATCCCTCACTCGTTCTGTCTCTCCTCGTCTCCCACCCCATTCCGACCAATCAGGAGCGCACCTACGCCATCCGCAAGGCGCATGTCAACGTGGACAAGGCGCTCAAGGCTGCTGAGGTGGTGCTGGAGAAGTATGACGTGGCGAGGCAGGTGAGATGACGTGGCAAGCTGGGTGGGTGGGAGAGGTGACATGTAGGTAGGAATCTGACTTGGTATGTAGGTGTATGGTCCGAAAGAATGGATTGGATGGCTGGAATTAAGTGAGTGTTCCAATGGTAACGAGGTAACGAGGGAACGAGGTTATGGCACGGCACGTGAAGGCGTTGAAACATGGTAGTTGGTAGATGGGCCAACTGCCTGCAGTGTGAAGATTTGGTACCAAGTTGATTTTAGATGGGCCAACTGAAGGTAGGGGGTGAACTTGTCAAGTGAAGAAGGGTAGGGGGGTGCCATCACCTCTCCTCAGGAGGGCCCTAAGAACGGCCTAGAGCCCTACCGGGCAGCCATCGCCTGCCTGCACGAGAACGTGGCGTGCTTTGATCCGCACGCACCGGTGGCTGCGCACCGCACGGCACGTACCAACACTTTTCCCCGTTGCCGTCCTTGTTGCCCCCTTTCCCCTATGCTCCCTCGCTGGCCTGGCAGGTGGAGCAGCGCATCAAGGAGGGCCCCAAGAACGCCCCAGAGAGCCCTTCCTGGCGTTGTGCGCCTACCCGAAGGAGGGAGTGGCATGCTTTGAGGCACGCGGCTCTTCCTCCTCCCCACCCTTGTTCTCGGGTTCGCATTTGCCCGCAGGTGGACCAGCGCATCGAGGAGGGCCCCACCCCAAGAGTGGTGTCCTTTGAGGCGCGCCGGTCGTTCAAGAGCTTAGAGGCGGCCCTGGCGCACTCATATCCTCCAACCTCTGCCTCTCCGACCCTCTGCTTCTCCGACCCTCTGCCTCTCCGCCACCCCCTGTCTTCCTCTCGTTGGCAGGTGGAGGAGCGCCCCAAGAACGCCCCAGAGCCCGTCGAGGCACATCGCGTCTCCCTCGACCCTGCGATCCCCACCTTTCTCCCTTGTTCGCCTGTGCTGGCAGGTGGAGGAGCGCATCAAGGAGGGTCCCAAGAACGCCCTGGAGCCGTACCTGGCAGCCATAGCCCGGCTGCACGAGGGCGTGGCGTACTTTGAGGCGCACCGCACGTTCAAAAGCGCAGAGGCGGCCCTGGCGCACTCCAAGGCGCTGCTGAGAGAGGCGCACCACCGGCTGGAGGACGGGCTCAGGCAGCAGCTGCTGCAATTCACGTGCGTTGTGGGGGGGGAAGGGGGGGACAGGGGGGAAGGGGAGGGGGAAAGAGAGGGAAAGAGGGGGAGAGAGGGAAAGAAGGGGCGATAGGGAAAGAAGGGGAGAGAGGGAGGGAGGTGGCTTGAAGGCGCTGGTGTGGGAGGCGCAGCACCGGCTGGAGGACGGGCTGTGGCAGCAGGTGCTGCAGCTCACGTGAGCGAGGGGGGGAAGGGGAGGGCGAGAGAGGTGCATTGAAGGCGCTGCAGAGGGAGGCGACAGCTGCTGCAGCTCACGTGGGTGGATGCTGTTCGGGGGGGGGGGAGGGCGGAGGTGGGGGAGGGAAGGGAGGGAAGAAGGAAAGGGCAGTTGGAAGTGACAGGAGTGAGGGAGGGAACATGGATTTCGTCTCATAATCAGCCACGTCTACTGGTCAGACTCTTCTCACGAACCGGGTACTCTCTGCTCTCGTCCCCCTCGTGGAGGGACGAACTTTGGGTTTCTCTTTCGTGCTCTCTCCTGTCATGCTCTCCTGTCATGCTCTCCAGTCATGCTCTCCTGTCATGCTCTCCTGTCATGCTCTCCTGTCATGCTCTCCTGTCATGCTCTCCTGTCATGCTCTCCTGTCATGCTCTCCTGTCATGCTCTCCTGTCATGCTCTCCCTGTTCTTTCCACCCACCTCCTCTCCCCTCCCCCCAGCCACCAGCAGCAAGGAGGGAGGCCGATCCAGCGACGCTCTTGGGCACGAGCAGGCAGGAGCAGGAGGGGGGCGGACCCGGAATCCCCCCTCATTCCCTCCGCATTCTTCCTATCCCACCCGCCTTTCCCTCCCCCCCCCCTGCCCTCTCCACCTCCACCCTCTCCCACCATCAAGGTGGGGTAGGCGGAGGACGGATCCGGATTCCCCCTCCATTCTCTCCTTTCATGCTCTCCCTGCCGCCCCCCTGCCCTCTCCCCTCTCCCTTACCCCCTCCTCCCCCTCCTGCCGTCCCACCCTCCCCCTTCCCCCCGCCAGCAAGGAGGCGGACCCAGCGAAGCTGCTGGACGCGAGCAAGCAGGAGGAGGAGGAGGGGGGCGCGGGGGAGCGGGAGGGGGGGGGGCTGCCAGTGCTGCTGGCGGACGGCAAGGCGGGGGAGAGGATCCGCGGGCTGGCAGAGGCGCTTATCCGCATTGGGCGAGCTGAGAACTGCTTGAAGATATACACGTGAGTGGGCTTTAACATCTGCATGCGGGCACAGATGCACATGAAGGCATCAGGAAGGGTGAAGGGGGCTTTGGTTCGGTGCGGCTGCCAGTGCTGCTGGCGGATGGCAAGGCGGGGGAGAGGGTCCGCGGGCTGGCAGAGGCGCTCAGCACGATAGGGCGGGCCGACAACTGCCTCAAGATCGTGAGTGGGGATTTAGGTATGTGCAGGTAAGAGTCGCCGTTAGTGCTACTAATGGATGGGAAGGCGGGGAGGGGTTGTGAGGGCTGATAAGTGTTTGAAGTTATGTGCGTGATTGATTCGTCCGCTGCCTTGCTGTTTACACCTGCCTTGTGTTTGCTCCGTCGCCCCTCTAGTGCACACCCCATGCACCTCGCTTTTTATAATGTCGAACTGGCGATGTGCGGGAAAAAACGCCAGCTCGCAATTTGTGGCAAAGTTTTCCAGTTTTTTTTTTTTTCCGCGGGCAGCCCGCGGAAGCGTATCGCGTATTTCCAAGCATATCGCGTATTGCGTACATACGAAAGTGTATATACGTGATACGCTGACCCCCCCCAAGTGTATTTTCCAACTTAGGTGCGTGGCGCTATTGTGGAGGGGGCCTGAAGCCTTTCGCAATGGAGAGGCTCATGCGCGAGAAGATGGACGCCATGGCGTGTGGGGGGGGGGGGTGGGGGGGGCTCCTCCCCCCTCTCTCTCATAAGCTCCCTATCAGCCTCTCTGCTTCTCCGCCACCCCCCCACACTCCCTCTCTCTAGCAGCGAGGTGCATGGCACCATGGTGTGGAGTCGAGTCTGAAGCGCATCGTGTTGGAGAAGCTCACTCGCGAGCAGATGGAATCTCTGTCTCTCTCATATGCTCTCTATCACTCTATGTCCCCCCCTACGTGCAGCGAGGTGCGCGGCACCATGGTGGAGGCGGGTCTCAAGCGCATCGCGGTGGAGAAGCTCACTCGCGAGCAGATGGACGCCATGACATGGGGGGAGCTGGAGAAGCGCATCGAGGGGTGGCGCAGGCAGACCAGGCTGGCGGTGAGTCCCACTGGGCTGGCGATGAGTCCGACTGGGCTGGCGATGAGTCTGACTGGGCTGGCGATGAGTCCGACTGGGCTGGCGATGAGTCCGACTGGGCTGGCGGTGAGGCAGACTGGGCTGGCGGCGAGTGTAGAGTGGACTGTGTATGCATTTGAGGGCCAGTGTCAGACCAGGCTAGTGGTGGTGAGGCACAGGAGAGAGAGGGGGAGAAGGTTAACAGGCCACTGCAGCCATTGTCTTCTCCATGCTGTGCTGCACGCCCTCCTCCTTGTCTTGTATTCTTTTCCAAACGAGGACCATTCCTGAAAGACGCACCCTGCTCCTCCGACCCTCCCCCTCCCCCTTTCCCTTTCCCCCTCCTTTGCCCCTTCCCCTCAGGTGCACGTGGTGTTTACAGCGGAGAGGGAGCTCTGCGAGATGGTCCTGCAGGGGCTGGACCCGCACACGGGGCAGGCGTTTGCGGATCTGGCAGGGCTGACTCTGGGCATGCTGTTCAGCTTTGGGGAGGCGGTGGCGAGGAGCAACAAGTCCCCGGAGAAGGTGTCGGTGCTGATGGATATGTACGAGACCATGAGGGACCTCATGCCGCAGGTGAGACTCGGTTGACAACATACATGCTGTGCTGGCTGGCTGTGTAACGCTGTGCTGGCTGGCTGTGTAATGCTCTGTTGACTGGCTGTGTAATGCTCTGTTGACTGGCTGTGTAATGCTGCGCTAGCTGGTTGTGTAGTGACGTGCCGATCATCCTGTGCCTCAAACGAGCAGCGCGCAGCAAGAAGTCACCGGGGAAGGTTTCGGTGCTCGTGGACATCTACTCCATGAGGGACCTCTTGCCGCAGCTCGAATGTGGGACCTTATGATATGATACGAGCTGAATCGAGTGATTATAGGAGAGGGCATACAACCTTAAGTAGAAACCAACCATGGGAGAGGGTTGGAAGGGATAGGAGCGAATCAGGAGAAATTCCCAAGGGGATCCATCCTTATCAAGGGAAATTTGGATGGATCGGGTTGGAATAGGTTGGGGATGGATAATCTACACCCAACCTACCAAAACATTTCTACACTAAAAACAACCACGTCTAACCCAATCCAATCCTAGCACATTTGCGGCCTATCTCTAGCACACCTCCTAGGCTGCAACGTCGTGAAGCGAGGGAACTCCAAACCCCACAACGCGAAGTAGACGGTAATGGTCAAGGTGTCCAAGAGACTTGTTAAAGCCGTCGCACACATTCCTGGAAATGTAGGAGAATGAACAATGACAATTGGGAAATGGTCGTGTGATTGGGTGCCCAACTGCGAAATTCTTTCCCGACATTCGTATCCTCGTAAATTTCATCACACTCGGGAACCTGTAAACATTCGCATATGGGGGGAGGAGGGAATGCGATTCGAGGGGGGTGGGGGGGAGAACACAACTGCAGGGGGAAACCCGATTACGGCAGAAATGCTGCTGGGAAGGGGGGGACGAAATCAACATTACGGGGGGAACGAATGTGACATGCGCTGGGAGAAATTAAACTGCGCGACGAGGGAGAAAGGAAGTTGCGAGGCGGGGGTATACGGGGCCCTTGAGTGAACGAGGGATTTGTAGCACACAAATCCCACGTAGGCATGAGCAAAACCGGGTATTTACCCGACCCGACCCGGTTTTGCTATACCCGACTTCGGGTCGGGTATTTTCGGGTCGGGTACGGGTCGGGTAACATGCCCAGGACCAATACCCGGACCCGGGATTTGGGGGCGGGTAATTTAATACCCGCCTGGCGGGTCCGGGTATACCCGACCCGGTTTCCTTGAAAAGCGGGTAGTATTACCCGCGTTTTTCTACCCTGTTGGGCTACTAAGACTACGACCTAGATGGTGCTTCAAAAAACGTGAGCTGCGGGAGGGAGTATGAGGTGCGCCAAATCTTGAACAGTTCTGGTGTGGTGAGTGGGTCGTGAGTGGGGCCTGAGTGGGGAGTTGGTTGGGTTTTCTAGTTGGAATGGGGTTGTGTGCGGTTTCTGGGGGTTTGATTTTGAGACCCCCAGAGTCAATTGGTTGGAACTCCAACCAATGTGGTGCTGTGCGGTTGGCTGGATTCAGGTTGGGTTGCAAATTCGATTGGGGAAATTCGATTGGTTTGGCTTCCAACCAATCCCCCCCAATTCAACCACTTTGAATGCATCTGTATCTACGAAACCCAACCCCTGCCAATCTACAATGCTCTAAGTGACCTAGCAGCTCACGTAACCTAGAAAGTTGATGAAATTTCTCTACCAGCGCGACTAATGTCTCGCTGGTTCCGTCGGGTAGACCGCTACCCGATTTCGGGTCGGGTACCCGCTACCCGACGCGTCGGGTAGCATTTCGGGTAGCGGGTATTGATACCCACCCCGGGTAACCCGGACCCGACCCGCCGGGTAATTTTCAGGATTTCCGATACCCGACCCGCCCTAAAAGCGGGTCCGGGTACCGGGTACCCGACCCGGGCGGGTAGTTTGCTCAACCCTAATCCCACATTTGGCCCGTCCGAATGTTTTCCAAAGGTGGCGAGGTCAAATTCACAAGGAAAGGCACAGCGTGATTAAGATTCCAATGTTGATAAAATTAGAAACATTTTAGGGACTGTGTACGACGGCTTTAAACAAGGCTGCAAAGTTGCAGTCAGAAGAAATGTGTTTGACGTTCAAGTGTTTTCGCAGGACCAACCCACGACGAAGTTCAATTTGCTTGGTCTGTTGGACAAGAAATTGGGCCTTTGGTAAGGTGTATGGTGCTTTAGTTGTCGCATCGCAGAGTTGGGGTCTGTTTCGGATAGCCAAACTCGACATGGCGTAAGTTAGTCATCGAACCTCTTAGGCTGCCAGGTGGCCGCGTACAGCTCGGCTTTGCAATAGAATAAAGAGATGAGCGTATGGATCGCCAGCTGATGACACTGCCAAGGGTAAAGTAGTAGCTTTGAGAAGAACTTCGGCCAACTTGGTCATCGGTCCATGATGAATCGCTATAACCCTTGAGTTGTGAAGTTTTTCACCAAGAGTAAAGTCATAGTCCTTGGTGGCTTGAAGGTAGCGATGGACGTGCTTTGCATCAGACCTGTGTTGATTGGTGTAGCGGCCTGCGGCAATGTAGCGCGAGCGCACGCTAATGTGATATGCTAGATCATGTCTTGTGCACATCATCACTTACACCAAGGACCCAACGAGCTCAAGATTAGGCAAATCACAAGGCTCAGGTGATAGGACTGATGGAGCAGTCGATGCATGCTGCAGAGGAAGTGATGTGGCCACAGGCTTTGCACTGTCCTTGTCGAAGCGCTGGAAGTTGTTCATATAGAACTCATATAGAAACTGTGATTCTAAATTTGAGAGAAATTCATCCTAAGGTAGTTTTTGAGTTTGCCCAGATCCTGTAAGATTCCAAGTGCCTACTTAATGGCTGCGAACTGAGCTGAGTTTTTGGAAAGAAGAATCATGTCGTCGACACAGAGGAGAATGAAAACGACTTCTCGCTTTTAGGAATGAAGAGACTCGGATCGGCGGCGGAAGGATGGAAGTCAAGTGACTCAAGGGTGGCCTTCAGTTTGTTGTGCCACTCCCGAAGGGCTAGGTTAGGCTTGAGCATACTACTCGCTAGACTTGAGCATTTTACCCGGTTGGGTCGCGGGTACCCGACCCGACCCGACATTTTGGCCAGGTCGGGTAATAGGATTTTGACGAATTACTCAGCCGGGTTGGGTCGGGTTAGACATGGACACAAGCCGAGCCACATCCGGCTCGGCTCGGCTCGGCTCGCCAAAATGACGAGCCGAGCCTTTCTTTTCGGGATCTGGCTCGACTCGAGCCGAGCCGGCTCGGCTCGGTCGAGCCAGCCGGCTCGACTCGGCTCGTACACAATGTCCTCGTCGAGCCAGGGTCGAGCCGGCTCGTCTCCGGCTCGATTTTTGAGCCAGGTGGCTCGCCACTCGATTTCAAGGGTAAATTTTCCCCTCGACAAAACGTGTCTCCCGTTTCTCTCTCCCCCCAACAACTCCTATTCTATGTTCCCGAAATCGCTCTGGCGGTGCAGCGTTTATCGTTTAAACGCTGCGTTTAAAGGGTAAACGCTAAACGCTCGCCCAAAATGTTTGACGCGGAATTGTTTCCCGCGACATTGCGACCTCGCGAATTCAACCAGTCGCAACCCCAAACTTTGACGACCAAAAGCACATCCAACCCTTTTGCCCCGCTCAACCGCACTGCACACTACTGCATCTAAAACTTCCAACCTAACCTCTTGCACCCTCCTTCCTCCTCACAATCCACTTCCCGTCAATTTCGCGAACCCTAGAATTCTGCGCGCCTAGGAGTATCTCATTAGGTTAGTTCGCGCGAGATATCTTAAGCAGCCCACGCCACTCTTAACAACGCGCGCTTGCATAGGCTCCACCCACACTACTGTTGGCTTAAGCGCATGCTAGGCGAGTCGAGCCGAGCCGGCTCGCCGTCGAGCCAGCCCTGGCTCGCCCACAGAAATGCGAGCCGAGCCAGGCATGTTTGGTGCCCGGCTCGACTCGAGCCGAGCCAGGCTCGACGGCGAGCCGGCTCGGCTCGACCCCTGGACGAGCCGAGCCGAGCCAGGCTCGGCTCATGCCCATGTCTAGGTCGGGTACTCGGGCCGGGTAATGCATACCCGTTACCCGAGAATTACCCGAAATGTCGGGTAATTTATTACCCGTCGGGTCGCGGGTACCCGACCCGACTTCGGGTTTGTTACTCCGGGTTTGCTGAATTTTACAGCCACCTAGGGTACCCGGGTAATATCACCCGACTTCAATTAAATGCGGGTCAAGTATACCCGACCCGCCAGAGGGGTACCCAATTACCCGGTATTAAAATGCCGGGTCGGGTAACAGACCTCCAAACATTACCCGGAAATTACCCGACCCGACCCGACCCGGACCCGATCGCGGGTAGGGCAAAACCGGGTCGGGTCGGGTAATTACCCGGTTTTGCTCATGTCTACTACCCACCCGGGTCGGATACCCGGACCCGGATCCGCTTTTAGGGCGGGTCGGGTATCCGGAATCCGGAAAATTACCCGGTGGGTCGGGTCCGGGTTACCCGGGAGGGTATTCGATACCCGTTACCCGAAATCTTACCCGACATGTCGGGTAACGCGTACCCGACCTGCCCGGTATTGAATACCCGACTTCGGGTACCGCCCCTCTCATACTGGCAAAAACGCTACCCGACCCAGTTAAGGTTGTTTTTAAAGACCATGCTGTCGACACCCACCCCGGGGGGCACCATGAAAAACACACCCATGGCACCAGAGGGTACAACAGAGGTTGTTTAGGCATTTTTTCATGGGCGGGTAGCAATGCCCGCTTTTAGCCTAAACCGGGTCGGGTATACCCGTATCCGCCTGGCGGGTATTATATTACCCGCCAGGATCCGGGTAATGGTTCCTGGGGGTATTACCCGACCCGGACCCGACCCGAAAATACCCGACCCGAGGTCGGGTATGGCAAAACCGGGTCGGGTCGGGTATTTACCCGGTTTTGCTCATCCCTAGGCTAGGTTGAGCCCATAAACTGGTCGATTCAACTTCCATACAATGCCAAGTGGGAATGGTAAAGGAAACCCTTGAGTTCGCTCCACGTAAAGGAAGGCCGAGCGTTTTGCGTTCAAACGTTAGCGTTCAAACACGAACGCTCAGATGCTACAAAAAACGCAACTCTCGGGCGGGCTGTTCGCCAAGAGAAAAGAAAAAAACGGAATGTCTCGCCACCTTGCAATCTCGACATTGGCTGTCTTTCCAACTCCCAACCCCCTGAATTCTCCCAACCGAACTAGACCACTCAGAATCGAGTAAACCCAACCCCTTCCTTGCAAACCCTCTCTTCAACAGAGAGCCAACGAAGAGGACTACCACTCTGAAAACTTAAATATTTTGTTATTGGGGGTTGTAGATGAAGGGGCCCAACCCTCCCCCCCCCCCTGGGAAAGCCGATTTTTTTTTAATCCTGCCCGGAATTTTTTTCTCCCTGCCCGGGCTAGCATTTTCCGAGCATTTGCCCCCACCCAGCTAAGCGTTTTGCTTTTAAACGCTAGCGCGTAAAACGCTGGCGTTTAAAACGCAAACGCGTTGTTCCATCATTGCCTACCACCCTAGATGGAGACCGTGTTTGGAGGCCTGGCATGCCCATCAATTTGCGCGAGCGCACAGCAGCACCTGGCGGCGGCGAAGGAGGCGTTGAGCAACTTCTCTTTGCGCCTCCATCCCTCCCCTCCACCCCCCGTTCATCAGATGGAGATGGTCTTTGGCGGCCCCGCTTGCGCGGCCATCAGGGCCAATGCGCAGCAGCTGCTGCAGCACCTGGCGGCGGCGGCGAAGGAGGCGTTCAGCAACTTCGAGCTGGCGGTGGAGAGCGAGGAGAGCAGCAAGATGCCGCCCGATGGGGCCACTCACGGGCTCACGAGCTACGTGGTCAACTACCTCAAGTACCTCTATGAGTACGTGGCCGACTCATATGTGCCTCTAGGAGTACGCTTGTGTATGTGTGTGTGTCATCACATGTGCAGGTGTGTGGCATCACATGTGCAGGTGTGTGGCATCACATGTGCAGGTGTGTGGCATCACATGTGCAGGTGTCTTGCATCACATGTGCAGGTGTGTGGCATCACATGTGGAGGTGTGTGCCATCACATGTGCAGGTGTGTTGCATCACATGTGCAGGTGTGTGGCATCACATGTGCAGGTGTGTGGCATCACATGTGCAGGTGTGTGGCATCACATGTGCAGGTGTGTGGCATCACATGTGCAGGTGTGTGGCATCACATGTGCAGTGGTGATTGGTTGGTTCCTAGGACCAAGGACCATTTGGTTGGAATAGTGCCAACCAAATGTCTAGGACCAAATCCAATCTTGACCAACCCAAATGTGGGGTTGGTCAACCCAACCAACAAACCCCCAATAATTATAATGACTACACCTCCTAATCTAGGCATGCATGTTGCATAGATATATATTTGACAACAGTGGGGCCCCACGCGCATCCATGCTGACTGCTTGCCCTCCCCAACTGCACTCTCCCACTCGTGCTGTCTGCCCCTCGTGCTATCTCCCCCCCGTGCAGTCTGCCCCTCCACCCATCCCTCAGCTACCAGGCCAGCATGCAGGCGCTCTTTTCCCGGGCGCCCCTCTTCAGCAGGCCACCTCGCGCATCTTCATTGACGGCCTACCGTACCCCAAACCTTGCTCCACCCTTTCCCCCACCCCTCGCCCTACCGCCCTCCTTTCCCCCTCAGCTACCAGGCGACCAAGCAGGAGTGCTTCTCCCGCGAGCACCTCTTCAGCGGGCCCCACACGCATAGACATGAGCACGGGGCGAGGCGAGGATTCCTTGACTCGAGGATCTCATCCTCGCGCCCTAGCCGAGGCGGGTCGAGGAATCCTCGCCGAGGATTTTTCATGAAAATCCCCCCTCGACCCCCGGGTTTTGGGGTCGAGGATTGAAATCCTCGCCTCGAGGATTAATTCCTTGACCCGGGGCGAGGATTCCTTGACCTGGGCGGCTGGGGGGTTAGGGGGAGAGGGGTAATGGGAACATCCTCGCCCATTTGCCTCGAGGAAAAATCGAGGCCTCGAATCCTCGCCGAGGCGGGGCGAGGAATCCTCGCGAGGATTTTTCCCAGAAAACCTGCCTCGACCCCCGGAATTTCGAGGCGAGGATTTCCGAGGCGAGGAAATCCTCGCCTCATTGCTCATGTCTACACACGCATCTTCATGCACGGCTGCACACCAACCTGGGGAGCAAGAGCAAGCTGCACCGCAGCGCTTCTCTCACACTGGCCCTCCCTTCCCAACCCTACCCCTCTTCCACTGTGCATCGCTCAGTTACCAGGCCACCATGCAGGAGCTGTTCAGCCGCGAGAACCTCTTCAGCGAGGCCACCATGCGCATCTTCGCAGCGCTGCACGCCAACCTGGAGCGCAAGAGCAAGCTGTACCGCGACCCCGCGCTCACGCAGCTCTTCCTCATGAACAACGTGCACTACATCGTGCATGCTGTGCGCAAGTAAGGACGACGGGAGAGATGGGGGAGGCGGGGGAGGTGGGGGAGGTGGGGGAGATGGGGGAGATGGGGGCGACGGGGGGGCTGTGTGAGAGGAATTGACTGGAAGGCAGCGGGCCACATGGGGCAAGGTGAACCGTGCAGCTGCTCTCACACATTGCTTCCTCGTGAGCATCGTGCACTGCATGGTGCGTGCTGCAAGGAAGTGAAAAAAGGGGCGAAAATTGGTGGGGAGGGGAGGGTGGGGAGTGTGGTGGAAAAAATGAAGAGAGTGAGGTGGGGAGAGAAGAGCTTGGTAGGGGAGCTAAGCTGTACTGCTATGCCACCCTCACTCAGCCCTACCCCATGAACAGCGTGCATTATCTTGTTCACGGCGGGAAGGAAGGCGTGGTGAAGGGGAGGGGATAAGGGGAGTGGGGGATTGAAGGGGGGGGAATAAGGGGAGTGGGGGATTGAAGGGGAGGGAATAAGGGGAGTGGGGGATTGAAGGGGGGGAATAAGGGGAGTGGGGGATTGAAGGGGGGGGAATAAGGGGAGTGGGGGCTTGAAGGGGGGGGAATAAGGGGAGTGGGGGATTGAAGGGGCGGGAATAAGGGGAGTGGGAGATTGAAGGGGGGGAATAAGGGGAGTGGGGGATTGAAGGGGGGGGAATAAGGGGAGTGGGGGATTGAAGGGGAGGGAATAAGGGGAGTGGGGGATTGAAGGGGGGGAATAAGGGGAGTGGGGGATTGAAGGGGAGGGAATAAGGGGAGTGGGGGATTGAAGGGGGGGAATAAGGGGAGTGGGGGATTGAAGGGGGGGGAATAAGGGGAGTGGGGGCTTGAAGGGGGGGGAATAAGGGGAGTGGGGGATTGAAGGGGGGGGAATAAGGGGAGTGGGGTGTTGTAAAATATATATCTATACAACATGCATGCCTAGATTAGGAGGTGTAGTCATTATAATTATTGGGGGGTTGTTGGTTGGGTTGACCAACCCCACATTTGGGTTGGTCAAGATTGGATTTGGTCCTAGACATTTGGTTGGCACTATTCCAACCAAATGGTCTTTGGTCCTAGGAACCAACCAATCACCAAGCACCACACTTTGTGGTTGCTTGCCTTCCAAGCAATCTCTCTCATTGGTCCACATTGTGACCAATAGGAGAGCACCACACTTTTGTGGTTGCTTGCCGTACAAGCAACCTCCCCCATTGGTCCACTTTATGGCCAATAGGAGAGCTTCCCTTCCAACTCTTTCTTGCTCCTTGTTTTGTACAAAAAGAGCCTCTTGGCTCCCTACTCAATTCAATCTTTTCTCTTCCAAGCTAGTTCCTTCATGGTATTCAGAGCCACAATGGCTCACGCCACCTCGATTCGATCCTAACTAGCACGGCCCTATGCTGTCCCTCCTCATCTTCGAAGTCTAGCCCTTCCTTAGGCTACTTCCCGCGCCCCCCGTGCGCCCTTTCTCGCCGCGCTACTCCGTCGCGCCCGCTCTTCCTCCCGTCGCGTGCCTTTTTGCCGCGCCCGCTCTCCCTTCCGTCGTGCGCCTCCCGTCGCGCCTGACGACGCGCTTCCGGCCGTCGCATCCTCCTACTGCGCCCGTTGGTGCGCTCCTCCGTCGTGCGGTCCTCCAGTCGCGCCCTCCCGTCGCGCGCCCTCCGCGTTTGCGCACACCAGTCCATCGCGCTCTCCGCGCGCCCGTGCGTCACGGCTCCCGTGGACGCCCGTCGACAAATCCTCTCAGCGCGCCCGTCGCCTTTCTGCCGACGCGCGCGCGCGGTCGTCGGTCGATTCTGCCGTCGCGTGCTCCCGTTCGTCGCGCCGTTTCGACGTGCAGCCGGTCGCCGCATCCTCCTTGGAGCGCGTCGACTTAAGAGCTGCGCTCCGCGCACCTATCCTTCTCCTCCTCCTTTCCCTTTTCCTCCTCCTTTCTCTTTTCCTCCTCCTTTTCCTTTTCCTCCTCCTTTCCCTTTTCCTCCTCCTTTCCCTTTTCCTCCTCCTCCCCCCCCCCCCCCCTTCCTTCCCCTCCTCCTCAATGGCGTCCGATTCCTCCGTGGACTTTACCTCCGTCGACGCTCTTGAGCTGCTGCCCGACAACACCGCGGTCAATTGGCATTCCTATGCCCAAACCGTCACCGTGCTTCTCTCCTCGGTGACGGTCAACGGCTACAACCTGAAAGCCGTTGTCCATCTCGAGGAGCGCGGTCTTCAGCCTGCCCAGCCGGATGCACCCGCGGGCCCTGCACCTCCTCCTCCTGGCGATCCTCCCGTCAGCCCCGGCGATCCTCCAACCTTCGCCCCTGACGTCAACGACCCTCAGAGCTCCGAGACCGCCATCCGCACCTACCGTGCCGGCCTCACCGACCACGTCCGCCAGCAGCTGCTCTTCGAGGCTTCCCGCGCCGAGCATGACGCCGCCACTGCCGCCTACAACACGTATCAGGCGGCGCTCGCGGAGTACGTCAGTCGCGAGCGCGCATACATCACCGACCTCGCTGCCTGGCGTGTCGCTGACCGGCGCGCGCTCACCATCCTCCTCGCCACCATTCCTCCCACCCTCAAGCGCGAGCTTGCTCCCACCTCCTCCTCCCACCTCTGGCGGCTCCTCACCGATCTCTATGATCGGCAGGACGTCGCCACCCTCTACTCCCTCATCAAGGAGTTCCAGAGCCTCACCATGGACTCTACCACCGGCGCAGCTGCCTTCACGCGTCGCGTCCTCGACCTCGCTCGGCGCCTGGCGGCTCTTGGCGTACCGTACCCGGACCCTGTGCTCTGCTGCCACCTCCTTGAAGGCTTGACTTCTGCCTTCGACACCCATAAGATCGCCTACATGCAGCTGATCGACAAGCGCATCACCCCGGCTGAAGTCGCCCAGTGGATTATCACCACCGAGGCCGACCTCCTGCGCCATTCCTCCTCCACTGCCGCTGTTGCTCAGCAGCGCAACACCAGGGGAGGGCGTGGGGGAGGGCGTGGCGCTGGTCGTGGTGGTGGCGCGGGTCGTGGTACCAATGGCGCAGGACGTGGTGCAGCAGCCCCCTTTCCTCCTTGCCAGTATCTCCCTCGCTATGGCCCCACGCGGGGTCAGCGCTGCGGCCAGACCACTCATGCCACTGATTCTTGCTTCAAAGCGCTCAGTGATGAGTGGTTTGCCCGCGGCAACACCGGCACCCCCCCCCGCTGGTCCTCCCTCTCCCCTCGCCCCACTCCTCAGGAGGTTCGTACCTCCCCTCTTTTTCAGCCCGTCTCCTCCCCCTTGGCCCACCAGGCCATCTCTCAGCAACAGCAGCAGCAGCAGACACCGCAGCAGATCCTGCCGCAGCCGTTTCAGCAGCAGCAGCAGCAGTTCCAGCAGCAGCAGCAGCAGTTCCAGCAGCAGCAGCAGCAGGGGCAGCATCACCTCTTCTCCCAGTTGCAGCAGCAGCTCCACCAGCTCCAGCAACAGCTTGACCTCCAGTCGCAGCTCCCCCTTGCACCTCCTCCTATGGCTCCCCCCCAGCAGCCCTACCCCGCTTGGACCGCCGGCACCGCCGCTTCCGCAGCTCACCTCTCGGGCGCGTCTCCCGCGCTCTCAGCCACAGGCAGTGTGACTCCCTTCCCCTCCTCTGGTTTTGTTGGCATGGTTAGTCAGGCTGGAACCCCCGCCCCTTCCATGTATTCGGCTGCTATTAATGAGAATGTGATTCAGTACTCCGTCCCACCTCCTCCCCCACATCCTCCCCCCTCCACCACGCTGGACTTTGTCCTTGACAGTGGAGCCACCGAGTCCGTCCTTCGTGATGCTGGTACCCTTCACCCTCTCCCAGCCCCCACCTCCCTCCTTGGTGCCGATTCCAGCTTCTCTATTCCCTGTCGCCACACCTCTACCCTCCCCTGTCCCCTCTTCCCCTCAGGTACCGTCACTGGTTTACACATCCCCTCCCTCCGTACTAACCTCCTCTCCCAGCGATCCCTGCAGCAGGCCGGTATCACCACCGTCTTCCCAGGTCGCGCTAATCACTGCCTCCTATACCATCCCACAGGTCGCCTCCTCTCCCGTATTCCCTTTTGTCCTCGCTCCCGCCTATATACCCTTCGAGTTCCTCGTCTTCCCTCTGCCCAGGCAGTCTCCCGCTCCCTCCTCCCACCTCACATCTCCCCCCCTCCTCTCCCTCCTTCTAACCCAACCATTCCCCCCCTCCCCCCTGACCCAACCTGCTCCTGTCGATCCCTCTCCCATCCCACCGTCCTCCTCCACCACAGGCTTGGTCACCCCAACTTTGCCACCCTCCGCTCGACCGTCTCCTCAGGTCTCCTTCGAGGTCTTCCCCTCACCCTCCCTCCCCTCCCTCCCTCCCTTGCCCCTCCCTGCTCCGTCTGTGTCCAGAGCAAGCTCAAGCAGCTGCCGCATCGGAGTTCCCCCTCCGCTGCTGCTCAGCCGCTTGATCTTGTTCACATGGACCTCTGGGGCCCCAACCCCTCCCCTTCCCGCCAGGGTCATCGCTACATGCTTGTTCTGGTCGATGATCACAGCCGATATTCTTCCGTCTCCCTTCTTCGCTCGAAGGGTGACGCTCCGACTGCGATCATCGCCTGGCTCAAGCAGGCGAGCACCCACTTTGGCCGCCCTGTGCGCCGCCTTCACTCTGATGGCGGTGGCGAATTCCTTAATCGTCAGGTAGCCTCCTACTGTGAGCTTCATGGCATTCGCCAGACTCACACCCTCCCCCACTCCCCCCAGCAGAACGGTGTGGCCGAGAGCCGTGTTCGGGAGATCACCAAGATTGCTCGGTGTCTCCTCGTCCATGCCTCTTGCCCCCCTTCTCTGTGGGGCTATGCCCTCCTTCACGCCACCCTCCTTACTAACCTGTACCCCCACCCTATCCTTCCCTCCACCACTCCCACCGAGCTCTGGACGTCGGCCAAGCCTGACGTCTCCTCCCTCCGTGTGTGGGGCTCCAGGGCGTATGTCCTCATTCACCCTGCGGACCGCCCCCGCACCATGGGAAAGCTCGCCTCCCGTACCCTCCCCTGCATCTTCCTTGGTCATAATCCCTCCTCCCCGGACTACCTCTTCCTTCACCCCCCCTCAGGTCGTTTCCTCCGCAGTCGGGATGTAGTCTTTGATGAGTCCACACCCTACTATTCCACTCCTCCCCCCACTGACCCTCTCGCCCCTTCTCCCAGGCCCCTCAACTGGTCCGACACTATCCCACCCCCTCTTCTCCCTCCCCCTCCCATCCTCCCCCCCGCTCCGCCTCCTCCATTCCCCGCCGCCTCGGCCCCTAGTGCTCCCCCCTCCTCTGGTGACATATTTGACCCTGACCCTTTTTTCCCCCCCGCCTCCCCGTCCCACTCCTCCCCCTCCGCTCCCTCCCATCCTCCCCCCTCCCCTCCTCCCCCCTCTCCCCCGCGACCCCCTCCCCCCTGCGTCCCACCCGCTCCATCCTCACCCGGTATCCCCACACCAGGTCGCGTGACGCAGTCCTAGGTGCCCCGCCTCCTGTTATCCTCTCTTCCTCTACCTTGCCTCCTCTCTCCCCTCTCATGGACCTCCTTTTTCAGACAGTCTTACAACAAAACACTAGCCCAACCCTGCCGTCGAGCTCCAGTACAGCAGTCCCAACAGCAGCAGCAACAGCTGCAGCAGCAGTTCCACCCACCGCAGCAGCACCAGCAGCAGCAGCCGTCACTTCTTCCTCGCCTTCACCCGCAGCAGCAGCAGCGGCGGCAGCAGACGCAGCAGTAGCAGCCGCCTCAGCAGCAGCAGCAGCAGATGCATCCTCAGCAGCAGCAGCAGCAGCAGTCCTCCCATTCATTTTCCACTCCTCCCTCCTCGAGGACTCCCATGAGGAGTTCCTCAACCTCCACATGCATGATCCAGCCGTCCTACCCATCTCCCCTGACCTCAGCGGCACACCAGTCTTCGCCTTCTCCTCCGCCCCCACCATCTTCGTCCCCGCCACGTACGAGGAGGCCATGGCGTGCCCTGACGCTCACCTCTGGCTCGCGGCCATCCTCAAGGAGTTGGAGGCGTTTATTGCCAACTCCTCCTTTGTGGATGTGCCCCGCCCTCCCTCTACCACGAACGTAGTCAAAGGGAAGTGGGTGTTTCGGGTGAAGCAGCTTCCTGGCGAGCCGCCGGTCTACAAGGCCCGCTACGTCGCCAAGGGCTTCACCCAGCGCTACGCTGTCGACTTCTTCGACACCTTCTCTCCCACCGCCAAGCCCGCTACCATTCGCGCAGTCCTCGACCTCGCTGCTCGCCTCAACATGGAGATTCACTCCATGGACGTCTCCAACGCCTTCCTCCAGGGGGTCTTGCGCGAGCTCATTTACATGGAGCGTCCTGCAGGCTTCCACCTCCCCTTTCCTTCCGACTCTGTCTGGCAGCTGCGTCGGCCGGTCTATGGGCTCAAGCAGGCACCAAGGGAATGGCATGCCAAGCTTGCTGCCACCCTCGCCGAGCTTGGCTTCAGCACCTCCCGTGCCGACCCCAGCCTCTTCCTCCGCACCTCCCCCTCCCCCTTCTACATCCTCGTCTATGTCGACGATATGATCCTCATCACTGCCGACTCCGCCGAGCTCGAGCGCGTCAAGCGTGAGCTTGGCAGCCGGCTCAAGTGTAAGGATCTAGGGGGGCTGCAGCACTATCTCGGCATGGAGATTACCCGCGACCGTGCTGCTCGCACCATCTCCCTCTCCCAGGGCCACTACCTGCAGCAGGTCCTGGAGCGGTTCGACATGGCTCGAGGCACCCCTCAGGTCACCCCTCTTCCTGTTGGGCACCATCTCACTCCCCTCACCTCCCCCTCCTCCTCCTCCCACCCCTACGCTGAGCTCATCGGCTCTCTCATGTATGCCATGGTCTCCACCCGCCCTGACCTAGCATACCCCATCAGCGTTTTGGCCCGCTTCGTTGGTACCGGCAAGCATGATGCCGCCCACTGGCAAGCGGCCAAGCGTGTCCTCCGCTACCTTCGGGGGACCAAGGACTACGTCCTTACCCTTGGCGGCCCCTCCCCTCCCCTCCTCACTGGCTACTCTGATTCCTCCTGGGCTGACTCTAGGCCTGACCGCCGCTCCTCTCAGGGCTATGGCTTCTCTCTTGGCAGCGGCCTCATCAGCTGGCGCTCCACCCGCTCCTCCTCCATTGCCCTCTCCTCCTGCGAAGCAGAGCTGTATGCCGCTACCATGGCTGCGCAGGAGGCCCGCTGGCTCTCCTTCCTTCTTGAGGAGCTTGGTGCCCTTCAGCGCTGTCCCACCATCTGGTGCGACAACGCCAGCACCATCCACCTCACGAAGGATGCTGTGTTCCACGGGCGCTCCAAGCACATTGAGCTTCGCCACTACTTCATTCGCGAGCTTGTGCAGGGTGGCCACCTCCAGCTGGGCAAGATTGACTCTGCTGCCAATCTTGCCGACATCTTCACCAAAGCCCTCCCCCACGCCGCCCACTCATCCCTCCTTCGCCTTCTTGGCCTCGCTCCCCCCGTTCCCTCGTCCGCCTCCTGATTCAAGCCCTCTAGTCTTATGCATGTTGGGGGGTTGTGTTGTAAAATATATATCTATACAACATGCATGCCTAGATTAGGAGGTGTAGTCATTATAATTATTGGGGGGTTGTTGGTTGGGTTGACCAACCCCACATTTGGGTTGGTCAAGATTGGATTTGGTCCTAGACATTTGGTTGGCACTATTCCAACCAAATGGTCTTTGGTCCTAGGAACCAACCAATCACCAAGCACCACACTTTGTGGTTGCTTGCCTTCCAAGCAATCTCTCTCATTGGTCCACATTGTGACCAATAGGAGAGCACCACACTTTTGTGGTTGCTTGCCCTACAAGCAACCTCCCCCATTGGTCCACTTTATGGCCAATAGGAGAGCTTCCCTTCCAACTCTTCCTTGCTCCTTGTTTTGTACAAAAAGAGCCTCTTGGCTCCCTACTCAATTCAATCTTTTCTCTTCCAAGCTAGTTCCTTCATCATACGTAAGTTTGGATCCCCCGCCTACCGCTTCCGCCCCTATCCTAGCTAGGCTCCGTCGCGCCCCTCCTAGCCCAGTCGCGCCCCTCCTAGCCCAGTCGCGCCCCTCCTAGGCCCTGCCGCGCCTCCTAGCCCCGTCGCGCCCCTCCTGGGCCCCGTCGCGCCTCCTAGCCCAATCGCGCCCCTCCTGGGCCCTGTCACACCTCCTAGCCCAGTCGCGCCCCTCCTGGGCCCCGTCGCGCCTCCTAGCCTAGTCGCGCCCCTCCTGGGCCCTGCCGCGCCTCCTAGCCCCGTCGCGCCCCTCCTGGGCCCCGTCGCGCCTCCTAGCCCAGTCGCGCCCCTCCTGGGCCCCGTCGCGCCTCCTAGCCCAGTCGCGCCCCTCCTGGGCCCCGTCGCGCCTCCTAGCCCAGTCGCGCCCCTACTAGGCCCTGCCGCGCCTCCTAGCCCAGTCGCGCCCCTCCTGGGCCCCGTCGCGCCTCCTAGCCCAGTCGCGGCCCTCCTGGGCCCCGTCGCGCCTCCTAGCCCAGTCGCGCCCCTCCTGGGCCCCGTCGCGCCTCCTAGCCCAGTCGCGCCCCTCCTGGGCCCCGTTGCGTCCCCCCTAGCCCCGCCGTGCCCCTTCTGGGCCCCGTCGCGCCCCTCTTGGGCCTCGTCGCGCCCTGCCTGGCCCCGCCGCGCCTGCTTGACCCCGCCGCGCCTGCCTGGCGCCCGTCCCAGCCGGCTCCACGTCCGCCCTCACGCCCTCCGCGCCCGTCTTCTCGGCCCCTGCGCCCGTCCCAGCCAGCCCCGCGCCCGTCCCAGCCAGCCCCGCGCCCATCCCAGCCGGCCCCGCGCCCGTCCCGTCGGCCTGGTGCCCATTGCTTCTAGCCCCCGCGCCCGTCCTGCCCCGAGCTGTGTGCGGCCCGCCCGTCGTCCCTGCCCCGGCCCTGCATCCTCCCTGGTACTGTTCCTCATCACCTGCACCGCACTGTACCGTCCTGCACAGCTCTGCACCGCACTGCACTGCACGGTACTGCCCTGCACCGCACTGCACCGTGCTGCACCGCACTGCACCGCGCTGCACCACGCTGCACCGCACTGCACCGCCCTGCATCGCACTGCACCGCGTTGCACAGTCCTGCACTGCTCCTGATGGCGGCGGAGCTTCGCTTCGACGCTGAAGGCCAGCCTCTGGAGTTTGAGGCTTGGCTCGCCGACCTCCGTCGCCACCTCACTCGTCATCGGCAGGATGGCCACCCGCTTTCCGCACACCTTGACGGTACGCACCTCTGCCCAGACCCCCCTGCTGTTCTGCCCGCTGATCCCACACCCGCTGAGCGAGAGTCTACTGCAGCCACTGCCCTTGCGCGCTCTGTCTGGCTTTCCCGAGACGCTGTCGCTCAGCTTGCCATTAGCAATGCCCTTCCCTCGTCTGAGCGCCCTCGCTTTAGGTCAATCACTACCGCCCAAGCTTACTTAGATGTTGTCATCAAGCGCTATTCCACCCCTCCTGCTGCCTCGGTCGGTCGCCTTATCCTCCCGATGCTCTTTCCCGACCTTGCGTCTTTCCCCACTATCTCTGACCTAGCTGCCCACCTGCGCTCGATAGATGAGACCTGGCGCGCTGCCTGCACTGACACACAGCTTAGAGCCCACCAGCCGCCCATTACCTCTACCCTCTACCTGCTTGCCACCCGCCTCCCTAACCGCCTTGCCGCCGCCCGCGACCGCTTCTTTAGCATCCACCCCGGTGAGCTCACCCTCCCCGACTTTGTAGACACCCTGACTGTTATCGAGATCCGCCACCGCTCCATTGCCCAGGCAAGCGGTACCGTACCGGTCCCTATCTTTCAGGGTTGTGCCCCCGCTCAGTGTACCTTCTCCGACGGTTCTGCCGCTGTAGCTGAGACTGCTGCTGCAGCGCAGCTTCGTTCGGGGAAGGGCCGCCGCCCCAAGGCTGGGCGCGGCGGAGGAGGCGGGGGTGCAGGAGGCGGTGGTGGTGGAGTCGGGTCGTCTAGTGCTGGAGCGGACGAGGGGACCCTGCCTGGTCCAGCGAAGCCACCGCCTCTGCAGTCGCAGCAGCAGCCGCACCAGCCGCAGCAGTCGCAGCAGCCGCAGCAGTCCCCGCAGACGAGGCAGACGAGTGTCCTTCCGCCCGGGTGACCCGGCACTGGAGGTGGTCGGGCACGTGGTGGTGTGCCGAGTGGTGGTTCAGGAAGCGTGCGTTGTCAGTACCAGATCCAGACCGGTCCTCGCCGCGGCTTCGTTTGCGGTAAGATCGGTCATACCAGTCCCCGCTGTTTTCGTCGCCTGGACGACCTCTTTGTCAGCGCTTCGGCCCTTCCCCAGACCTCCCAGACAGGCACTGTTTGCTTAGTCGTAGGATTCAGATTTTTTACATGGACATGCATGCCATTGTTTTCTGCTCTGCATGTGATGTATGCTGATGACTCTAGTGCGCTCCCCACTTATTACTCCCTGTCGTCTAGCGTAGGTGTGCCTAGCTTAGCCTCCCCTGCTGCGTCAGGCGTAGGATCCCCTGGTTTGTTTAGCCTTGGTGCTTCCGCTGTCGCCCCGTCGCCGGACGCCACTGCTTCGCTTTCCTTCACCTTGGACACTGGCGCTTCCCGGTGCTTCTTCCGCAACTCTACTACACTGACGCCGCTTCCTGCTCCTGCTGCCATTTCTCTTGCTGACCCTTCCGGCGGTCCGGTAGTCGCCCGCAGTTCCACCACCCTTCCCTGTCCGGCGGTTTTCTCGGGCTCTCTTACAAGTCTGCATATCCCCTCGTTCTCCAGGAACCTAGTTGGTGTCGGCTGCCTCCAGGACCTTGGCGTCACCACTACGTTCCCTGGTCACGAGCGGTATGCTGTCTGTACCGAGGCCGCCACTGGTGCCCCCCTGTCCACGTTCCCCCGGGACCTGGTGTCTGGCCTGTTCACTCTGGACACCGTGACCCCCCCGGCTGGGGCACCCCTTCAGGTGGCTGCGTCTACCCAGGTTGCTGCTGCCTGCTCCTGTCGGTCCCTCACTCACCCGACTCTCCTTTGGCAGCACCTCCTAGGTCACCCAGCGCTCCCGCGTCTGCGTCATATGTCCCAGCACGGTCTCGTCCTTGGTCTCCCTGGTTCTCTCCCCGCTTTTCCCTCCTCCCCTGCCCCACCTTGCACGCCCTGCGTCGAGGGTCAGCTTCGCCGTTCCCCTCACTCCTCCTCGTTTCCCCCTACCACCGCGCCGCTGTAGACCCTGCACATGGACGTCTGGGGCCCCGCCCTCGTCCATGGGCCGCGTCGAGAGCGCTACTTCCTTGTGCTTGTCGACGACTTCACTCGCTACACCTCGGTCTTTCCCCTGGAGCGGAAGGCCGACGTGCCTGACGCTCTCATCCCCTGGCTTGTCTCTGCCCGTGTCCACCGAGGTCTCCCTGTCTTGCGCCTTCACTCCGACCGTGGTGGCGAGTTTGCCTCAGGTGTCCTTGATCGCTTTTGTCGTGCGGAGGGCATCACCCAGACGTTCACCCTACCGGACTCCCCACAGCAGAATGGGGTCGCTGAGCGACGCATCGGTTTGGTCATGGAGGTGGCTCGCACCTCCATGATCCATGCCGGTGCACCCCATTTTCTGTGGCCGTTCGCTGTGCGCTACGCTTCTCACCAGCTTAACCTGTGGCCGCACCCCCAGCAGCCGCAGGTTTCGCCGACCCGTCTTTGGACTAGGTCTCCTAGTGACGCGTCTGCGTTCCACGTCTAGGGCTGCCTTGCTCACGTCCGTGCCTCCGGCACGGACAAGCTCACTGCCCGCACCCTTCCCTACGTCTTCCTCGGTTTTCCCCTTGACGCGTCCGACTGGCAGTTCTACCACCCGCCGTCTCACCGCTTCTTTCACTTTCGCGACGTCACCTTTGACGAATCTGTCTCCTACTACCGTCGCTTCCCCCACCGCGGTCCCCCAGTTACCCCCCCTGTTCCTGGTCACTCCTTCCCCGGTAGGAGGGGGGGAGAGAGGTGGCGAGGGGGATGGCAGTGGGACGTGGCCCCAGCATGGCCTCGTACTCCGCATCGCTCTCGTAGAACACCTGCTCCTTGCCCTCCTCCCCCCCTTTTTTTTTTCAATATCTCTCTCTTTACCTTTCTCGCCCTCTCTCTCTTTACCTTTCTCGCCCTCTCTCTCTTTACCCCTTTCTCTCTACCTCTCTCCCTCTCGTCCTTTACCTCTCTCTCTCTCTCTCTTGGCAATGCCCCGCTCACTCTCTCTGCCCCCCCCCCCCCTCTCTCTCTCTCTCTCTCTCTCTCTCTCTCTCTCACTCTTTCTCTCCCCCTCTCTCTCTACCTCTCTTTCAACTTCTCTCTTTTCCTCTCTCTTCGTCTCTTTCCTTTCACAATCACATTTTGTGTTCACTTCACATTCTCATTCATTCTCGCCCTAGCTGATTGTTATTCACTTCTTTGCATACGCAATGCCTAATATACTATCCACTATCCACCTTCATCCACTTTAATTTTGTGCAGGTTTTCTTGTAAACGAGTTTATGAGCTCCGTATGGCATTTAGCTGTAATTCGTGGGGATCTTCCATTATCTCATTTTTCAGCTTTATATTTTATCATTGCTGGCGTCTTGTGTTTGGTTCGATGCATCTTGCTGCTCTTGTTTGATCTCATTCTCGATCCACAATTCATTCCAGTAGCAATGTACGTATGTTTTTTTTTAAAAGAAAGCATACTTATCAAATCACAAAAGGTCCACGGGCGAGCTCTTTGAGTTTCTGTCATTTGAGCTGGATTTGATTGGTTTGGTTCTTTTTTTGGACCTTACAGATTGCGTTGCTCCATGTCACATTTAATCATTCAGACACTAAGCTTGCTGTCTTCCCCCCCATTCTAGTGCTGGGGAAGCGGTAGCTTAGAGTTTGAGTTTTTCATTGTTACATATAATCATCACACTTGCTTCTTATTCATGTCATCAATTATGACATGAACTTTCTTGCAGGACTCGATTGGATCCGTACACAACGATATGATGCAATCAAACAAGAGACCTGCCGAATTTTCAAAGTACACAAAAAATCAGCCAAATATAATGCAAATATTATTCCAAAATATATGCATATAATTACAATCATATGATAAACACCCCTGGCATCTTGTTATAGTAATAGGAAAAAAATATGTAGGTCATATTTTATTGTGCAAAGGTTTTCCTTCCAAAATTTTGTGTGGAAAAAAAAAATCGGCAAAATCGATCGTAATAGGTTGTTATGCAACTCAAAAACGCTTAGGACACGCCCTTAGGGCAAATACGCGAACACCCTACCCAACCATTCTAGGTTCCTTTTCGAACGCTGTGAAACGTAAAGCAAGTTACTGCACCGCAATCAGGTGTTCTATTTGGACCAGCCCTTACAGTTGCTGGAATAGTAAGTTCACGAAACTTGTTTTGCGGCCATATTCAGGGCGTGTCATAAGCGTTCGTATTTTCCTCGGAACCCCACCCAACCGTTTAAAGTTTCCAGTCAACTTCTTTCAAAACATTCCGCACCTTGCTCAACCGTACTAAAGTGAACGCTGATGGCACGCCCTGAGGGCGAATTGTAACAATTTATTTTTGCTATACCCAGTGTTATAGCTAGATATCACAGCTTGCAAAACTTTCCATTAATTCAGCTTCTAATCATGTCTCCTATCCAAGATTTCCCCTTGGAATCTCTTCCTATAATTCCATATTTAATCATTTTGTCCATATTTACTCAACCTGTTATTTTTATTCACTCGCTGGTTCTTTACTCCCTTCACTCATTCTAACACCTGCTTATCCATTATTTCCTACCGAATACCACTAGTAAACGAAATGCCCCCAGAGAGGCCTCCACGTTTCCTCGTTCCACGTCACCATCTCAGCCTCACATCCAGCCCGACCAATCCCAAGGACCCCCCACCCCACCATCTCTTTCACCGTCAGAAGAGTAAATTCAAATGTTCGTTTCCCGCGGTATAGGGCGGTTCCTCGAGTTACAAAACGATTCTTCTATTCTGCCGCTTTGAAACCCGACGAACCGATATAAACCGTTTTGAGTGGTCCTGAACTCTTGTGACACACCCTTCCCATTCCTTTCCCCCTCCCTCCCCTCCAGCTTTTCCCAATCTCACTATTTTCCTTGGTCTTCTTAGAGTGCAGCAACTTACTCCGTCAGCCACTTAGGCTGCACTTGGTTCAACCGTCGATTGCACTCGCGGAGCCATGGCGTCCTCGTCGCTTTCCTGCTTGCAGCAAGCCTCTGCCTGCACGGTGAGGGTGCGGGGTTTGGAGTAGAGAGCCTCGACCTCGCGCTGTGACAAAGCTGTCAAGGTTTCGTGCTGTTCGGCTAGTTTTATGGTTCTCGCGATTGTTGCGTCGCGTCGTTCTTTTCCGGTCCTCGCACGCGCGTCATCGATTTCAGATTTCCCAGCGTTACAGTCAAGAGGATTAGCCGTCCTGAAGCATCGTTCACAGATGATAATGCATCGCTCTCCAGCGAGTTCATTGTCGCCATCTGGTGAAGGCTAAAAGCCACATTAGTCCGTATCCCCTTCGTTTTTCCTTTTTTCGACTCGCACACGATGATTCTTTGTCAGCAGATTAAGCTCTTACGGCAATCCCTGAGGCTCTATTTTTTCGCAGAATGCCTGGTCGTATCGTCGTTTTAGGGTTTCGTGAGTTTTTTCCGACTTCAAGGCCCCATTGACTTCGTCTCAGCGAGTTTCTTCTTAGCAGTCGCAGGCATTTCTTACCGAGAATCTTCTCGTGAATTCCATGTCGGGCGGAGACTTATGCAGGGTTTAGCGAGACTCTTGTCATTAACCCGAGCCTGCTTCGTGCTTGCCACGTCCCTACCAGAGCTTCATGTTTGGTGCCGATACGTCGTTCGGTTTTAGCTTTCCTCTCAGTACGGGATTTGTGAAAGGTCACGACGAGAAATGTCACGTCCGCAAACAAGTACTAATGGCTAGCGCCTCTCAGAAATGGCGTCTCAATGGCTAGTAACAACAGGGCATCAAACTCCCGGCTTTGAGCAGTCTCGTCGTCTTCACCACAGTTTCTCTAACCTGCTTGTAGACTGACTGGCCGTCAGGCTGCTCCCTCTCCCAGTTTCTTCCTCTGCCCCAGCCACTTCATCCTAACCCACACCCCTCACGAATCTTGCAAATTCATTTCACTTTCTTCTGCTCCTCTTTCTTCTTTCCCAACTCCACCCTTCACCCCACCCCCTTCCCCTCCCCCCTCCCCCCCCTTTTTCCCTCCCCAGGCTGCCAGGCTGGCAAACCTCTCCAGCTCCCGCAGCTGCCACGTCAGCAGTCAGCGCCTCTCGCTCCCCTCCCTCGCCTGCTCCAGCACATCCGCCTCCGCGTCCGGCGGAGCAGTGCGCGTGAGCGCGGTGAAGAAGCAGGAGGAGCTGGCGGAGATCCGCGCGATGGGATCGGCGGAGATCGAGCAGGCCGTGGTGGACCTCAAGGGCGAGCTCTTCCTGCTGCGCGCCAAGCAGGCCACGCGCCTCGAGTTCAAGCCCAGCGAGTTCGGTCGAATCCACACGCGGGTGAGTGAATGCACGGGTGGGAGGCGGAGGGGGGGGGGGGGTGCGGCGGGAAGGGGGGAGGGAAGGGGAGGGGAGGAAGAAGCGCGGGAGGGGAAAGAGATGCAGGGAAATCTGTAAAATGGGACAGGCTCTTCTTCTTGAGTTCAAGCTCAGCGAGTTCGGCCGCATCCACAAGTGGGAGACTTGGGCTGGGAAGTGGAAGAGGGGGGTTGGGGGATTGAGCCAGGGCGAGAGTGACAGGGAGAGGGGGTGGTCGAAAGTCCGAGGTGAACAGGAGGAACCCGCTGACGCGAAAGGGCTTGGGGGAGCAGGGAGCTTGGTTTGGAAAGAGGGGTGTGGGGGGGGAAGGGGGGGGGAGAGGGGGGAAAAGGGGGGGAGATGGGGGAAGGGGGGAGGGGAAGAGGGGGGAAGGGGGGGTGAGAGGGGGGGAGAGGGTGGGGGAGGGGGGAGAGCGGGGAGGGGGATTTGGGGGGAGAGGGGGAGAGCGCGCCAGCTCATAAGCACGGCCAGGGACGGAAAGGAAGTGGAAAGGAAGAGCGGAGCGGATTGTATTTGTGGAAAGAATGTGTTGCCAGACTCCAGTGTGCCTGATCCGTGGGTGCAGGCCACGGTGGCAGTTGCTTGAGGGCAGAGATAAACCTCCGTGGAAAGGTGTAGCAGGAGTGGCTCTGGCTGCCCTTCAGAGACAGGGTGGACTGACATGAAGAGCACATGTGCTTGTGCATGCAGATCCATGCGCTCCTCCCCCCGTGCTCCTCCCCCCGTGCTCCTCCCCCCGTGCTCCTCCCCCCGTGCTCCTTCCCCCCGTGCTCCTCCCCCCGTGCTCCTCCCCCGTGCTCCTTCCCCCCGTGCTCCTCCTGCATGGGTGACAGCAGCTGTGCTGTGCTGTGATATGTTCCCCCATGTCTGATATATAATGGCATGTGCTGCTGTAGGGGTGGGTGGTGTGTTTCATTTCTCCTTCTGTTCCACTCTGTGACTTCTGTCTTCGGCAGGTTGCACGGATGCTGACTGTGAGGAGGGAGAGGGAGCTGGAGCAGGGCGTTGGAAAGAGGGAGTCGCGAAAGCTCGACCGTGCATGGAAGAAGAGCATTGTGCCACGCCCGCCGCCCTCTTACAACCCGGACGAGTGGAAGAAGTAAGGCGGCCAGTTAGCTTAAACATTATGTTCTTTAGTGTGATGTGATATATGATATATGATGTGAAAAACTCCGGCCCTTGTTCATTTACGAGCCCAGTTTCAAAGGCACATGGTGTTAGCTTCCAAGATAATCATTTCATGATAATCGATAAATAAAACGGTTGTACAAGCCGCGAGACTCATCCTACCGAGTACCGAACCTGTAGGCCTGGTGTGTTCCGTCAACCAGAAAACACTTCTGATGAGCCTTCATCCAAACCTCACTACAGCGTATGGAAACAGCGAAGAAGCACGAAGTCGCGTGCCGTGGTTGCGAGGGGTTACGTGACCCGCTCAGCACGGCACTGGCGTGAATGCCTGGCGAACACCGTGACTTCGCATGATTGGTTGAAAGGCTTTCGGCAAGCTCGAGTCAGGCTTGGTCATCCTGGCTGGCGCAGGTCGCGGCTGGGAGGCATGCCCTCTGTCCCACGTTCTGTCCAAACAGAAACTCGTAATTTCACGAGGATCAGGCGATTCGGGAATTGCTGAAATTTGTGAAATGTTGCTAAGGTAGACACAGAAACCAAGATTTGAGCACCACAAGTAGTCTTCTCGTGATCAGGAATTCCTTATTGTGTACACAAGGCTTACAGCCTTCGTCCCATTATCTAGAGCAACGGAAAACCTTCTCTGCCGTATTTTTTCCCTTGTAGCGTCTCGAATCTCCTTGAAACACGACCTGATAAAGTCAGGCTCACGCCTTAGCCCTTGATAAGAGAGTGAAATGATCTCCAGAATGAGTGGAGTTTCCAGGAGCGGTGGAATGTCCAAGGTCAGAGATGTGCCCAGGATTAGCGACGTCTCGAGTGGACAGAAGAGCAGACTCGCAGCTGCGCTGAAGGTGCTTCTAATCGGAGATAGTGGTACGTAAAATCCTGAGGACTGAAAAAGATGCCCGGACTTGACTTGCTGAAACGCCAATTAGACCTTCAAACCGTATGGTTCGGAACCCCATAACCACGTGTTTTGGTACCCCAACCCACGTGGTTCGGAGCCCCAAAACCACATGGTTCGGAGCCCCAAAACCACATGGTTCGGAGCCCCAAAACCACATGGTTCGGAGCCCCAAAACCACATGGTTCGGAACCCCAAAACCACATGGTTCGGAACCCCAAAACCACGTGGTTCGGAACCCCAAACCGCATGTTTCGGAGCCCCAAAACCACATGGTTCGGAGCCCCAAGACCACATGGTTCGGAACCCAAAACCACGTGGTTCGGAACCACAAATCATGGTTAGTAGCCACAAAACCCTTGTCCATGGCGTATGATGATGCTTTGAGCTCACACGTCCGCTCCAGCATTCTCCCTTGCTGAAAGTTACACTTCTCATCTGAATCTAAGTCGTAACGATGCTGAATCGTCTCTCCGTTGTGCCACTCTCACCTTTTTCTCTCTTTTATTCCCCATTTGAATGAAAAAAAATCTCCCAATATCCATTATCTCCACGGACGGCCCATGGCAGCGGTGGGGAAGAGCAGTCTGCTGCTTCGCTTCTCAGAGAACGACTTCAGACACGATCTCACATCCACGATCGGGTATGCGCACTTCACTTGACGAAAGGAAGTTGACTCTTGAGGTGACTTAACCCCAAATTTTCTAGGCATGACCTCCGAGGTCACATCATGTGAAACTGAACGGATGATCCACCATCGGCTATTTGAACTCATTTTGAGCGGTTTCGGTTTGGGGAAAATTGGGATGGACTCACGATGACATTTGTTGACTTTCGTTGACTTGATATTGACTCACGACCTCAAAACTACCCTCCGTTATGATCAGCGCACAATCTTGCCTTTTCCTGGTTCTTCTTCCTTCCCCTCCCTCCTTGCACTGCTGATTGGCATGATGACATATGTTGGGAGACATTGAAGCTATCCATTCTATGTTTTTTTTACCCATACGATGGGCATTGACGGGGAGACAGTGAAGCTATCCCTTCTATGTGCAACCCGCGTGACGATAACCAAACTCTAAACTGTCTTGCAATATTTTACTGCAGAGTTGACTTCTTGATCTGCACGATGGACATTGATGGGGAGAGAGTGAAGATATCCATCTGGGGCACCGCAAGCTTTTGAGCCGCCTCAAAAATTATGTTTTATTTCTTTCTTTCTTTCTTTCTTTCTAATTTCTATTCGCAGGGTTGACTTCCTGATCCGCACGATGGACATTGATGGGGAGAGAGTGAAGGTGTCCATCTGGGACACCGCAGGGCAGGAGAGATATCGCACCATCACTGAAGGTACTAATACTAGAGTATGAGGTCACCGCACTGTACCAAGCATCACTGAAGCTGACCGCTCCGCACCATAAATGGGACACCGCAGGGCAGGAGAGATATCGCACCATCACTGAAGGTACTCTACATGCTCAGTCAATTCCTTCCATCACTAAAAGAGCTCTTACATGCTCTACTTGGGGTCTAGCATGCCTTTCAGTCCATCTTCAGAGTGAACTTAAGAGCTGCTGGTCTTAGGTTAACACCAGGAGCACCTCTCAGTGATTTTCCGCATACCCAGATCGACAACGCTAGGATTTTCGTCATGCGATCATACTGGTTTTCATTCTCTGATTTCATGTATGATACTTGTCCATTTTTTCTGTATTCCAATTTCAGCCTACTACCGCAATGCACACGGCATCCTCCTCATTTACGACATTACAAGCAAGTCATCTTTTGACAGTAGGTTTCTTGGTCCCCCATGATCTTATTTACGCATGCTTTCTTGACCCAATTCTTAAGCGGTAATAACAGTTTGACACGCACCTTTTTGTACCAGTTGTTTTGTTTGTTACACTAACCGAAACATGCAATCATCTATGTGCAGACGTGCGAGGGTGGATCCGAAGCATTGAGGAGCATTCCACAAAAGGGGTGCAAGTCACTCTCGTTGGCAACAAGGCGGATATGGACGCCCATCGGGTAAGCCCCTTATGGTAAATTCTTAGTGCAAATGCAATGTTTGAACTGATTATTCAGAGTTACAACGTGCATCAATGCATCAATGCACATTTGCTTTATGCCAAAACATGTACTCAGGTGCATGTGCCTCTGTCTCTTTATTTCAAAATCCTGTGTGCCAGCCTATATCCAATCGTATTTTTATCTCTCTCCCTCTCAATATTTTTCTCTTTCTTTTAACCCACCCACTCTCTCAAACTCTCATGTACGCATGCATTCAATCTCTGCATTTATATTCAGATATAGCTTCCATAAACTCCTCCCCCTCCCATGTGTTCAGGTAATTAGCAAGGAACAAGGGCAGCAATTAGCAAGCGAGTTCAGAGTTCCCTTTTTTGAAACAGTGAGTCATGCCTGCTCCCCTTGAAAACACTGAGCAGCATTAAGGGAACAATATGCACCACTCCATTCTCTCATTCAGTATCACTTCTCCACATGTCTTCCCCATAATGCGTATACACCTCGACCATATATTTTCCAATGCATAGTCATCGTGCATCGCCACAACCTTGGCTTGTTTTTCTTCATAAGGGCGTGTCCCGCGAGTACGTTTGATTGCGGTTGAGTGAGCTGCTCTTCTAGTCACAAAGTTCGAATAACGTTGGGAAACGGTTGGGTAGGGTATTGAGCGAGAAACGTACGCGCGGGACACGCCCTAAGCATCTATGAGCTCGTGAATAGAGACCATGCCATTTGTGTGCAATCCCCTCCCCTATATTGCCATTTCTGCCCACAGTCAGCTAAAGCAGACATCAACGTCGATGACATTTTCGTCTGCATTGCTCGCGAGAGCAAACGTCTTTACGATGAAACACACTCACTAAATGCTGAGGTATGCCTTGGTTCTTTCTTGCAACTATTTACAAACCGGGGTGACATTTGCCTATTGTTTTTCCTTGCAACTGATCGTGCTGGTTTTTCTTATCATATGTTTTGACTTGGACGTGCAGAAACCAACATGTGTTAATCTCCAAGGTGCAACCGTACCTGCCCAAGTCATTTCCTCCTGTTGTGCTTAGGATCGTAGGTAGGTGTGTAACAAATTTAGCTAGGTGATGTATAGTATTGATTAGTTGCCAATGCCTAGTTATGATCGAGGCCAGAATGTTTTCTATCCTGATAGCATAATTGTGTTGTATTCATTCTTACAATCAATAAAAGGACAAAACAATTGCACATTTATCATACTAGTGATACTCTAGGAGTTTAAAGGGATAAAGAGTTTGAAATGTGCGCAAATATGCCATACATGTTTCATTAACAACATTCAGTATTGTAGAAAACCTTAAACCTGAATTCAATCCTATACTGTGTATGTGTGTTTGTAGCTATGGATATAACTCACATATGAATTGAAGTAATGGTAGCGCGAAATATTATGGCTAAGGCTTGCCTTCGCTGAGATGTCTGTGTCAAACATATCTTCGTATGTTAGTATAGACAATATAGGTTTGTGCCTTAGAGGGTACAGCATACTTGCATATATTCCTTTGTACTGTCTCATGCTAGTCATTTCTTTGTTTCTGACATGGTATCATGAGTAGGTTAGATCGCCCACCCGCGCTTCCGCCCTAGGTCCTAGCCGCCCTTTCCTAGCTAGCCCGCGCCCGCCCCTAGTCCCCCCCCCCCCCCTCCCCCCCCCCCCCCCCCCGTGCCCGCCCCTAGTCGGCCCCCGCGCCCGCCCTAGTTGGCCCTCGCGCCCGTTCCTAGCCAGCCCCACGCGCCCGTTCCTAGCCGCCCCACGCGCCCGTTCAAGCCGGCCCCTAGCGCCCGTTCCTAGCCGGCCCTTGCGCCCGTTCCAGCCGACCCTCGCGCCCGTTCTAGCCGGCCCCTCGCGCCCGTTCCTAGCCGGCCCTCGCGCCCGTTCCAGCCGGCCCTCGCGCCCGTTCTAGCTGGCCCCTCGCGCCCGTTCCTAGCCGGCCCTTGCGCCCGTTCCAGCCGGCCCTTGCTCCCGTTCTGGCCGGCTCCTCACACCCATTCCTAGCCGGCCCTCGCGCCCGTTCTAGCCGGCCCCTCGCGCCCGTTCTAGCTGGCCCCTCGCACCCGTTCTAGCCGGCCCCTTGCGCCGTTCCTCACCGGCCCTCGCGCCCGTTCCTAGCCGGCCCTCGCGCCCGTTCCAGCTGGCCCCTCGCGCACGTTCCTAGTCGGCCCCCGTGCCCGCCCCTAGTCGGCCTCTCGCACCCGAGCCTGACCGGCCCTCCGCCCTAACCTGGTCGGCCCCGAGGCCGTCCCTAGTTGGCCCTGCGGCCGCTCCTACCTAGCCTTGCACCTGTCCCTACCGGCCCCGTGCCCGTTCCTCGTCAGCCTGCCCGCCACCGGCCCCAGCGTCCATTTTGTAGCCGCGAGCCATACAGCACCGCACTGCATCGCCCCTCACCACTCGGTACCGCACTGCACTGCGCAGCACCGCACTACACCGCACAGTACCGCACTGCACCGCGCTGCACCGCACAGCACCGCCCTGCACCGCACTGCACCGCTCTACACTGCACTGCACCGCTGCTGCTTCGCTCCTGATGGCGGACTCCGTGTTCCGCTTCGACGCAGAGGGTCAGCCGCTCGAGTTTGACACTTGGCTGGTCGACCTCCGCCGTCATCTCACTGGTCAGCGGCAGGATGGCCACTCCCTGGCGGTCCACCTTGACGGTACGCTTCCCTGCCCTGACCCCCCTGCTGCCCTGCCCCCTGACCCCTCGTCCGCTGACCGTGAGTCCGCTGCAGCTGCTGCCCTTGCTCGCTCAGTCTAGTTGTCGCGTGACGCCGTCGCGCAGCTTGCGATCAGTCATGCCCTCCCCTTGTCTGAGCGCCCTCGCTTTCGGTCGGTCACGACTGCGCAGGATTTCCTAGATGCTGTTGTCAAGCGCTATTCAACCCCGCCCGCTGCCTCTGTAGGTCGCCTGATCCTGCCGATGCTCTTTCCTGACCTTGCGTCTTTCCCCACTGTCGCTGACCTGGCCGCTCACCTGCGCACGATAGACACGACCGGGCGCTCTGCTTGGACTGAGACCCAGCTTAGAGCCTTTCAGCCGCTCCTCTGCTCTACCCTCTACCTGCTTGCCACCCGCCTCCCTGGCCATCTTGCTACTGCCCGCGATCACTTTCTTAGCATCCACCCCGGTGACCTCACACTCACTGACTTTGTCGACACCCTGTCTGCCATAGAGACCCGCCAGCGCTCTGTCGCCCAGACCAGCGGTACTGTGCCGGTCCCTATCTTTCAGGGTTGTGCCCCCGCTCAGCGCACCTTCTCAGACGGTTCCGCTGCTGTGGCTGAGACCGCAGCTGCAGCTCCGTTCCGTCCGGGGAAGGGACGCCGCCCTAAGGCTGGGCGTGGTGGTGGGGGTGGCGGTGCAGGTGGCGGTGGTGGTGGAGTCGTGTCGCCCGGTGGTAGCGGGACGAGGGGACCGTGCCTGGTGCAGCCGAGCAGCCGTCCCACCAGCCGCAAGCGTCGTAGCCGGTCTAGCACCAGCCGCAGCAGCAGCCTCAGCACCAGTCGCAGCAGCCGCAGCAGTCGCCGCAGCAGCAGCAGCAGAGGCGGGCGGGTGGTCTTCCGCCCGGGTGGCCTGGCGCTGGTGGTGGCGATGGACGTGGTGGTCGTGCGCGTGGTGTGCCTTTGGGTGGCAGTTCGGGTAACGGGCCCTTTCACTACCAGCTCCAGACCGGTCCTCGCCGCGGCTCTGTTTGCGGTAAGATCGGTCACACCCCCGTCCGCTGTTTTAGTCGCCTGGACGACCTGTTTCGTCTTCGCTTCGGCCTGTTGCCCGACCTCCCCGACTGGTACAGCTTGCTTTGCCGTCGTGTTTGTGGACATGGATGAGCTTAGCTCTGCCTTGTTTGTAATGTATGCTGATGACTCTAGTGTGACTGGTTCTTACTACCCTTTGTTGCCTAGTATAGGTGTATCTAGTCTTGCCTCCCTTGCTGCGTCGGGCGTAGGATCCCCTGCCTTGTTTAGCCTTGGGTCTTCCGTCGCTGCTCCGACTCTGGCCGCCACTGCTGCGCTCTCCTTCACCCTGGACTCTGGCGCTTCCTGGTGTTTCTTCCGCGAATCCACTACGCTGATGCCACTTGCTGACCCCTCCTCCGGTCTGGTAGTCGCCCGTAGTTCCACCACCCTTCCCTGTCCGGCGGCTCCTTCGGGCTCCCTTACAGGCCTACACATCCCCTTGTTTACGAGGAACCTAGTTGGTGTCGGCTGCCTCCAGGACCTTGGCGTCGCCACTACGTTCCCTGGTCACGAGCAGTACGCTGTTTGTACCGAGGCCGCGAATGGTGCTCCTCTCACCACGTTCCCCCGGGACCCAGTGTCAGGCGTGTTCACACTGGACACCGCGCCCCCCCCGGTTGGGACGGCTCCTCAGGTAGCCGCGTCTCCTTAGGTTGCCGCGGCCTACTCGTGTCGGTCTCTTACTCACCCGACACTCCTGTGGCACCACCATCTAGGTCACCCTGCACTCCCGCGTCTGCGTCACATGTCTCAGCATGGTCTGGTCCTAGGTCTCCCAGGGTCGTTCCCCGAGTTGCCCTCCTCCCTAGCGCCACCGTGCACGCCCTGTGTCGAGGACCGACTCCGCCGTGCCCCTTACTCTTCCTCGTTCCCCCCCGGTTACCGCACCGCTATAGACCCTGCACATGGACGCCTGGGGCCCCGCCCCCATCCATGGGCCGCGTCGAGAGCGCTATTTTCTAGTGCAAGTCGACGACTATACGCGCTACACCACGGTGTTTCCCTTGGAGCGGAAGGCCGACATGCTCGACGTTCTTATCTCGTGGATTGTCTCTGCGCGTGTCCAGTGTGGTCTTTCTGTCTTGCGTCTCCACTCCGACCGTGGTGGCGAGTTTGCCTCTGGTGTCCTTTTGCTTCTGTCGTGCGGAGGGCATCACCCAGACGTTCACCTTGCCGGACTCCCCGCAGCAGAATGGAGTCGCTGAGCGACGCATCGGTTTGGTCATGGAGGTGGCTCGTACCTCCATGATCCATGCCAGTGCACCCCATTTTCTATGGCCGTTCGCCGCTCGCTACGCCGCTCACCAGCTTAACCTGTGGCCGCAACCTCAGCAGCCGCAGGCTTCGCCGACCCTTCTTTGGTCCGGGTCTCCTGGTGCCGTGTCTGCGTTCCACGTCTGGGGCTGCCTTGCTCACGTTTGTGCCTCTGGCACGGACAAGCTCACTGCCCGCACCCTCCCCTGTGTCTTCCTCAGTTTCCCCCTCGACTCGTCTGACTGGCACTTTTACCACCCACCGTCCCACCGTTTCTTTCACTCCCGAAACGTCACCTTTGACGAGTCCATCTCCTTCTACCACCGCTTCCCTCACTGTGGTCCCCCAGTTACTCCCCCCCGATTCCTGGTTCCCCCTTCCCCGGTCGCCCCTGCCCCTCCCCCTCCCCCTTCCGGTCCTGCCCCGTCTGTTGTGTCTCATGTCACCCCCCTCACGTCGGTTGTCCTGGTCGAGGAGTCTTCTGACTCTGGCGTTGGGGTGGGTACTAGTCCTGAGGTTCCTGTCGTGGCTTGTCCCGGGGGGCTTGGGGGTGGTACCGGTGCTGGAGGGGTTTCGGGCTCTGGGGGTGTTCCTTCTGGGGGTGCAGGAGTGGAGTGTTCCGGAGGTAGACGTGGAGCAGCTTGCGGTCCCGGTGTCGGTGTCTACCGCTGCAGTAGCAGTCACCGCCGGTGTCAGCCCTTCGCCTGCTCGACCTTCCGTCCCCTGACCACGCGTCTGTGCCTCTCCTCCCGTCTCCTCCTCTTCCTCTCTACGGCCCTGTGTTCCCTCCCCCGGACTCGACTCCGGCTCGTCTTCCCCCTCGTTCCCCTCTTGTGTCCCCTCCTCTGTCTCCTGACCCGACGCCTCCGTCTCACGTCTGGTCTCCCGTGCTCGCCCCATCTCCCCTGTCCCGCGCTCTCACCCTATGTTGCTTCGTTCCCACGCGTCTCCTCCTCCCCTCCTACCGTTGCCTCCTCCGTCCTCCCTTGTTGTCGCGTCTCCCCCTCTGTTTGACTACCTGCGTGCCGCTCATCCTTTCCTCGGGTCCTTGCCTCTCTCGTTACCGACCCATTTGTTCTGGTCTCGCGTCTTGACGCTCTTGTCGCTGCGGTCGCTGACTTCGCCTCTACCCACCGCCTTGACTACGCCACCGCTCTGGTCTCTGACCCTGCCCATCCTCCGTCCGTC